GTGGCCGCCGTTGGAGGGCAGGTGGGGCACCGAGTGGCTGGGCAGAGCCATGCCGTCCACGTTGCCCGGCAAGTGGCCGTTCATCATGCCCAGGCCGCCCTCCAGCGCCAGGCTGTTGGGCGGACAGGAGAGGCCGCCGGTGGAGCCCTGGAAGCCATAGGTGTCCGGGAGGTGGTTGAAGCCGAGCCCGTTCATCATGCTGTACATGGGCTTGAGCGCCTGGCACTTCCTTCGGAAGCCGCGCGGCCGCCGCCGAAACGAGCCCTCCTCGAACATGAACTCGCTGGCCGGGTCGATGGTCCAGTAGTGGCCCTTGCCGGGGCGCCCGAGGCCCTTGGGCAGCTTGATGAAGCACTCGTTGAGCGAGAGGTTGTGGCGCACCGAGTTCTTCCAGCCCTGGTAGGAGCCGCGGAAGAAGGGGAAGCGGCTCTGCAGGAACTGGTAGATCTCGCTGAGCGTCAGGCGCTTGGCGGGCGAGCTCTGGATGGCCATGACGATGAGCGCGATGTACGAGTAGGGCGGCTTCTCCGGGCGCCGGATGCCCGCGTTCGTCTTCTTGGCTTTGGACGGACCGCTTCCTGCAGCTCACACACCAGGGCCTATCCGGCCTTGGACACTGTCCTTCCGGGCCAAGGGTTTCCCAAAGCCGAAGGGGAAGGGGTAAGGGAGGCAGCCTCCCTTACTGAGGCCACAGAGGCCTCTGGGAGCCAGATCTTCTGAAGCCCCGGGCAGCCACCTCCACCAGGTAGAGCAGAGCGGGAAGCCCCAGCCAGGCCAGGCCTGCCGCGGCTAGGCCGGCATCACGGCCATCCACAGGGCAAAAAGAAAAGCGTCAGAGGACAGATCTCTGAGGGAACAGCCCCCCACCCCTGCAAGGGAACAGGTAGGGAGTTTGAAGAGGCAGCCCACCCACCTCCAGGCCCGGCTCCTGCCTCCTGGAGGCTGCTGACAGCTGACCCTGACAGGCCCCAGTGAGCTGCTCCCTACTCCTTCCAGAACTAGGCCCAGAGGGTGGTGGCTCGGGGCGGATGGCTCAGAGACTGTTCTACATCTTCTTTCTCAAAGAACTGTGTGTCTAGGGTGGGGGTCTGGGGACCTAAAAACCTTGATCCTGAGAAACAAAGAGCTGTGTGGCCGGCAGCCCTGACCCTCCTCGGGCCTGGCCACCGCACTGCATCTGTCACCACAGAATGCCCCTGCACTCACTGCCAAGCCTGGTTCCTGCAAGGGCCGGGCTGGGCCGAGGGGCACCAAGCCCAGGAGGCTCTGGGCCTAACTCTTCCCTTCTGCCCAGGCCCGAAGGCCTGCTGAGGGATCACTTAGGGGACTGCGGGTTCCCTGGCCAGGACGGAGGGTCCTGGCTCCACACAGAGACCCGTCTGAAGAGCGAGAAGACTTAAGGCACCCAAAGGACTTAGAGTACTAGAGTCTGAGACACTTTGGTGAGAATGGGGCCTACCTGGTCAGACTTGGGGAGGCCAATAGGGCAGAGTTAGGACCAAATTGGAGGTCTCAAGCTGCATTGCCCTTCAAAGGGACAGAGTGGGAACCCCGGCACCCAGGGGAGCTGCTCCTTTCTTCAGCAGTTAGAGGGGCTCCACCATGGCAGTCAGCGGGCTTGGGGCTGGGTCCTGTAGGGCACTCACAGACACCGCTTCTAGGGACAGTCTGAGCCTTCCACTCACCTTGCAGCTCAGCTGGGGCGTTGTGGCTGTTCTGGTGCAGATATGGCTGGTCCAGGGAGTGTGTGGAGAGGCTGCCGGACAAGGGGGTGGCTGCAGGGTTGCAGGGGGACAGGGGCTGCTGCTTGATGTAGGAGGCTCC